GTCTTTCAAAATTGTTCTAGGGTTTTCTCTCTGTTTTCCTTGATCTGTCTCTCAATTCATTGAAGACACCTAAATATAATTCTTCTGAATTCCTTATCAGGGAGTTCCAATGCTGCATCTTCCTCAGGGATGTGTTTTGAATCTGTATTCTGGTCCCTTGTTTCTCCTGCTTTGTCTTCTTTGTGTGGACTGTGATTCCTGTTGTCTCTGAGGCATTGTGACATTTTTGTGTTTATATTTAATAGGTGATTGTATGTTGGGGTGACTTGCCCATGAGTTTTGTTTTCTTCGTTTTGTTTGTATGTCATCTACGCAAGCAGGGTACTGTGCTCCTCTGTTCGCTAGTTGACAGCACTTAAACACTCACCACATGTCTCCTTTCCTGTTGTCAGCCTCTCGTATATCCCTACTGACCTTGGCAAATGGAGCCTATTCTTAAGTCCTTGGAATCCGAATGTGAATGCTATCACTTTAAACATCCAAAATGGCTGCCACGTGTAAACAATCAAAATGGCTGCACCCTGGACAGTGGAAAGTCTACAGCTCAGGTTGTCTCCCTTCTTGCTGTTTCCCTTCCTAGTCATAGGCCACCAGCGCAGTCGTCCCTGCGGCCCTTGGTGACCAGGGCTGATCTTTAGGTCAATTCTCAGGTCCCCTCCCCACTTGGAAATATTCAGGCTGTTGGTCCCTTCAGAGTAGCTGACAGTCTGCAGCTGTGACCGTCTCTGTACTCACTGTTTTCGTTCAGGTTTTTCCTTTAGTTGGTGGCTAATCCACTTCTGTATAGTCCCTTTCAAAGCTCAGGACTCCAGGATTATCTTCTGTATCTCTGTCAATTGGTTTTTCTTTTCTTTGTTAAAAGGGTCTGTGTCACTTATCTGCCTATTCCTTGATCTTACCAGAAGTACATGAAGCCTAATCCTTTCTTGATATTCATGAGACAGTTGGAAGTCTGACTACTGTCTGGATGTTTGATATTATCATTGATTACTTTTTAATATATGTAACCGTATTATGTGCCTTGTGTGGTTTATTTATTTATTTTTTCGTTTTAAAAGTATCTTTTTGAGTTCCATACAGAAGCATACGTGGGTAGAGTGATAAAATGGTGTCGATGAAACAAGAGTGGCCATCAGTTGATAACAGTGAAGTTACCGTGATGGGTGTGTAGATGTTCTGTTATACTGAAATGAAAAGTTAAAAACCTGCAAGTAGACCAGTCTCTTGTTAAGATTTAATTTTCCAATTTTGGCTGCTTGATTACTAAAAGTACCAAATTGATTGTATCAAGTTTTGTCCTTCACTGTTGAAACTTTTTATGAAAAACGTGTGTATTTCATTGAACTTTAAGCCTTAGCATTACTTGAATGTGTTAATGTCCAGGTCACAGCCCTCTGTTTGCAGTAGGATTATATCCCACTTCTCTGAAGAAATAGCCATTGATGGTAGTGTTATTGTAAAAGACACATTTTTCCCTAATGCACTCTTTTTGACAGGTCTCTGGGGTTTGTGAGTCAGTTTCAGTTTGCCTCCTTGTTTTGGGCATAGCACATGCTGGAATGTTGGGAAGAGATGTGAATGTGGAACTGTTAAAAGATTGTTATGACCCATTGCAGTCTGGGTTAATGACTTTTCCTCCATGTACTGTTTTTGAAAATGTGTTCTAGCTCTGGCTGAGTTCACAGAAGCAGATGAAGCCATGGTGGAGCTTGCCATTGCTGACAATGTTTTCCTGTTCCTCACTGAATCTGTGGTCACCTCAGAGAACTTCTACCAGGAGGAATTTTACATCCGCAGAGTCCATAACCTCATCACAGATTTCCTCACACTTATGCCAATGAAGGTAAGTGGGCTGTAAAGTACTAGTAGAAGTCTAAGATAATGTCAGACTGAGTCAATCAGCTGACTTAATGTCTTAGGAACTGGTAGCGTCTTTAGATACAGACTAAGGTTTGATAGTAATTGGTTGTGTTAGAGTTTGTGACTGATGAAAGTGAAACAAATAAAACCTAGTAACTGAGAGGAAGGTAAGAGGAAGAAATACGTGCCCTGGAGAACGGTTTATGGTGAAAAAGTGGTAGATAAATGAAACTGCTTTTACGGGTAGAAGATTATTAAGCACAGGGTCAGTACTGAGCTTGGTCTTGTTAGTACTTTCCTATGTGTTTTGTAAGAACCACAGTGGGAAGTCTCCAGCTTTACAGGTAATCATTTTGACTCTGAATTGTAGTGTATAAATGGACATTGGCATGGGTGCATGTACCGTAATGGATTGAAGAAACTGTAACACACAGGCTGATGTTGAATGGCAGACCCGAGCTGCAGAGCGGAGTCAGGAAAGGTTTTTGGAGCCGCTGCAGACAGTCCCTTCACAGTGCTTGCTTTGTGTGCTGTGTGGAAGATGGTGGCAGGAAGTCAGTGATAGGGAAAGCGCTATCAATGATCTTTTTTTGTCTGGCGGTTCGACACTTGCAATACTATCACACAGTTCTGATACCATGCCTCCTGGAAAGCCTAAGGCAAGTGGAAAAAGGACCCAGAATGGCAGTAAGCGAACAGTGAAGTGCTTGTACATTACTTAATGAATCAAACATTTACTGTGTTTCTCCTGTGTTCTAGGTATTATGCTAGGTGTTGAGAAGAAGACAAATAAACAGGATATTGATTCCATGCCAACAAAGAGTTTATAATCTAATTAGGGACATAGGACGTATACCCAGGATGATACAGATAGTGCCAGTTAGTAAGTGAGAGACATAGGCAATAAGTTACAATGCATTGTTTCATAGTAAAGACAGCTCATGCAGGGCTGGGATACTTCAGGAGTGTTTCAGATGGATTGAGTCCTCAGCCAGCAACCTTGAAGGACTTGATGGATTGGCAGTACAGAATCTTGGAATAGGAAGCAGTCTTGCTAAACCTTTATCTTACATCTGTGGAAAAGAAGCCTTAGCAAGGTGAAGG